CAAACTTATGAGGCGGTCTGTTTTCCAAATCATCGCGCTTGCTCTCGATCGGCACGGGCCATCCTGTATTTAGTAGGCCGTCCAGTACCTACCTACTGCGTATAATGCTAGGTTGATGAATAAGTTTTCGGAACAGAACACTTATCAATGAGGTATAAAAAATCATACTATTTTTTTTTCACATCTTAAATTCGTTTGTAGCGAGAGCCAGAAAAAACTAAATTAAAGATTATACCCAATTTTCTTTTAAACTTCACACTTGGGGGTATGTGATTCATATGTAAGATAAATACAAAATACATATACTTATCCTAGAGTTTCATTGCATTTCCAAAAACTTATTGATCAACTTCGTACTTGGATTTGACTTTTGCATATGTCAAAAAGTAAGACAATTTTCTGCGCAAGTAAGTTTAAAGTCAATTGCTAAATTCGAGCCGCACAGACATACACGAAACCATTGATTGTCTTATATAACTCAATGCACGAAACCAAGTAAATCAAAACTTGATAAAAACCAAGAAAAAACACAACAACCAAATCGGTCACCACAAGCGCATCATAGGTTTTACTATCTACTATTTTAGAAACACATTTTAGCGCTATATCTACTGCCATTGCAATGCGTAAACATGACACATTGTACGTTATTTAAATTCAAATAATTACAGATTTAAAAAAGTTTTCCGAAGTGCTTATTTAAGTGGAATAGTAGCGGTCATATTGTTTTCTTGCCCTAAAATATAATTTATACTAAAGAAAATTCAACAGAAGAAAGAAGTCTAAATAATATATAATATTAATTAAAATTATAATAACAACTAAACCACAACATATACCGTTACAGACAAATGGGGAAAATGATTGTTAGGTTAAAATTTAACAGCTATAGGTATAATATTGAAGTAACATACGAACTGACAGACCACTTGCGGACAACTAGCTGTTGTGACCCATGGACAACGGTAATTAAATTTAATAAAGGAGGCTACCGATAAGACCTTTGTAGATTAAGATGAAATGCTTTAAAGCCTGTAACTATACTGGCCCTCTATACATTTCAGACCGCAACACAGCAACGCTCACGGTGCTGCGTGGCGACAGAAATGCAAGTTTGTAATATGTACTCGTACACATACACTGATAGTATTTGATAAATGCTCTAGTTGTCATGTAAGTTTGTAATATGTACTCGTACACATACACTGATAGTATTTGATAAATGCTCTAGTTGTCATGTAAGTTTGTAATATGTACTCGTACACATACACTGATAGTATTTGATAAATGCTCTAGTTGTCATGTAAGTTTGTAATATGTACTCGTACACATACACTGATAGTATTTGATAAATGCTCTAGTTGTCATGTAACGTATATGTACATACATACATACATAAACACTCACGCCTGTCACCCAGAGGGGTAGGCAGAGACTACAGACTTCCATTTGGCACGATCCTGACACACCTCTCTCGCCTCCTTCACATCCATACACCTACGCATACATGCTCGTCGGTTAAGGGTACTCCTAATTTGGCCCGTTTTCAATAAATCGCCAATTTGGTCGATAAATTTTCGCCTAGCCCATCCCTTTCCGACTCTGCCATTCAATTATTGACGACTCCGTGGCGCAGTGGCTTAGCAATGGGTGGCTGCGCTGGGGGTCGCGGGTTCGAATCCCGCACGGAACAAGTATTTGTATGGCGTACAAGTAGTTGTTCCGAGTCTGGATGTTCGTCCTTGTGCAATTTATGTTTGTAAACTGCCCCCACAATACAAGAGAAAATCTTAGTGTAGGGGTAACGTTTTTTTTAAAAAAAAAAAAAAAAAAAAAAAAAATTTAAAAAAAAAAAAATTCTGCAACATAAATTTTCTTTGTCACTCTTTCCTCATTCATTCTTTCCACATGACCAAACCACCGAAGCATTCCTTTCTTAATCCTGGTCACAACATCATCTTGCAATCCACACTCTTCTCTTATTACACAATTTCTTACCCTGTCGTTCAGATTCAGCCCTAAAATACTCCTTAAGGACCGCATTTCTACTGCGTTGATTCTACTCTCGTGCTTCTTCTGCCACACCCAACTTTCACTACCATACGTTAAAGTAGGGACCAACACAGCATTGTGAATTGCCATACGTGCCTTTTTTTGACACAAAAAACCTTTTGGTTTTTGGCCAGAAACTTCTCCACGATCATGCGCACGGAAAAGACTTGATCTGCACATCCCATTCCCTTTCTAAATCCCGCTTGTACATCCCAAATTTTTCCATCAGTTTCTTTCATGACCCTTTCAATCAGTACCTTAGCATACAGTTTTCCCACAATGCTAAGAAGGCTGATATGTACTCGTACACATACACTGATAGTATTTGATAAGTGCTCTAGTTGTCATGTAAGTTTGTAATATTGTTACGAGCTTGAGGTTCGTTGCAATAAAAACTGTCGATTGAATTACCAAAATTAACACTTTAATTCACTTTACACTAATTAAACTTAAAACACTAATAATTAATCACACTGATTCACTTTATTTCGCTCCGAAGCTTCGCTTGTCTCGCCAAATTCAATACTTCCTCGATCGCATCTTGCAGCGCCTTTAAATACACATTATCACCGAAACATCCAGAATATTCAAGTAAATACGCGCGCCAATCGACAAAGCGTCGAAAGTTCGAGTGTCGGGCTTCTAGAAGCTTAGTCCTTCGTTTCGATACTAGATGGCGCTGTCGGTTGAAAGATTAGTGATGTCATTTTCTAGAAAGCTCCCCTCGCTCTCGTCCCCGACACTAGATGGCGCTAGTGCCGGGTACATGACGTCAACTTAGGCGCGCAACACTGCCCCCTCCTAAGACATGCTCATCCCGAGCATTACCAGCCCCATAATAACGCGCCAAGCGATCCACATGGACGATCTTAGGAGTCCCTCTTGCGCCTTTCAGTAACGGCTCCGCAATGTCAAGGGCTGTCCTATCCCATGGTGCACCAACATTGTACAATTTCGATGCTCCTCTACTACGTGTCTGAGGTACCCTCACAGCCGCACAACTTGTACATGTACGACATCAATCCTCGACATCGTCACGATAATGGACCAGTAAAACTTCAAAACGGATCTTCAGTAGAGTTCGTTTAACTCCCAGATGGACTCCTGAACAACCAATATGGTGCAGCTGTAGGAAATTCGGCACCTTAGCTTTAGGGACAACGATTTGCAAACGACAGCTGTCTCCTCGACCATTGTCCCATTTACGGCACAGGACTCCATCCTGAATCAGAAAGGTGTTCCATTGGGCCCAATAGCTTCTTGTGGCGGAACTCATCGCTGAGACGTCGCTCCACTTAGGCTTGGTAGCACGGGCCTTCATCCATTCCAGAATCGGCTTGATGTCCGGATCTTCCTGCTGTGCATGTCGTAGGCTGTCCTTCCACTCGTTGCTGAGGTGGTCTGTCCTGAGCATCCTCACGGATACCACTTCCTTACTCTCTTGACTAGTACAATGTTTACAATCTTCAGGACAAGGTCTTCTTGACAATGCATTTGCGTTGCCATGAGATTTCCCGCTGCGATGTCTGATAGTAAAGTCGTATCCCGGCTGCTGCTGGGCGGTGATGTTAGCCGCATTTCCCTTCTGAGATCGTTTACCTTCCCTTTCTAGGGTTCGCTTAGGGCAGCTGGATCGACTATGGCCCCTTTCCCCACAGCCATAACACCTAGGGCTGTATCCTTTATTGTGGTCGCGAACCGTAACTGCTGCAACCTCCCTAGCTTGAGGGGAACGATGATCCTGCCACCGCCAAGCGGTAAGCCGTTAGCTGCACTACCCTCTTGAGATCGATCAACTTCCCTTTCTACAGTTCGCTTAGGGCAGCTGGATCGAAGATGGCCCCTTTCGCCACAGCTATAGCACCTTGGGTCTGTATCCTTTGTTGCGGTCGCTAACTGTAGCTACTGCAACATCCCTGACGCGATGGGAACGATGATCCTGCCGCACGGCTTCCACCTCCAATGCATGGGCCAAGGCGTCCTTAAGATTCTCGTGGTGCCCGAGCCTCACAGCAGCTCTGACTTCCAGGTCGCGGATGCCGTCGATGAATGTCTGCACCAGGTTCCCTTCAATGAGCGCAGGTACAGACCGGTATGCTTTTCGCACCAGCTTCTCCACCTCTAGAGCCCGCTGCTGCAAGTTTTCGTTGATGCGCTGCACGCGATCTTTAAGCTGCGCACGAAAGACGTGTTCCAGGTGGTCATCGCCATATCTCGCCTCCAACGCCTCAAGGAGCTGCTCGTAGGTTACTTTCTTACCGAGAGCTTCCAACACAGTTAAGGCTTGGTCGCGCAGGCCTAGGGTGAGTGCAGTCATGGCTTGGCTTTTATTCCAGCCGTTCGCCCCCATGTCGGCCTCGATCTAGATTTTGCAGGCCGACCAGGAAGAAGTCCCATCGAACGGCGGCACTTTGAATCCACGTAGCGAAGGTATTGTAGCTACTACGGGAGCTGTTGTTCCATCCACAAGTTTGAGATCCTTCAAGCATTTTCTTCACGTCAGCCATCACGTTGTCAACCCGATTGTTCACTTGGTCGATTCGGGTTTCAACTTTCTCGATTCGGGTTTCAGCTTTAGCGATTTAGGTTTCAGCTAATCACTATGTGGTGTGTTGTTAGATTTTTTATGGGTGATTGAACGATGATGATGAAACGAGTGTACAGTCCACCTGATGGTAAGTGCAAGCTGTGACCAACAGACATATTCATCATCTTCAGTTAAGAGTCAAAATGAAGATGCGTTATCACATCAGAGGACTAGATGGAATGCGTCATTTCCAGTAAAAAGGATCTCCGGTTCTTTACTTTTCACAATACGACACACCGCATCATTAAGCTGCTATTTCACGCTGGTATTCTGTGAGAGTGTGGTCCTACCTCGGTCGAGCCGACACATTCTAATATAGATACAACATGGCTCTACCACGTGTAATGTTTGGATGACATACCTTTAGGCTTGTCGACGGCGAGTGCGCGCGCGAAATGCTCGTCCACAACCGCCGCCACGTCGCCTGCGTAGTGCGTGAACACGACGCAGTTCGCGCTGACGTACTGAGCACGTCCACGCGCTGCACCGCACTCACCCTCCGACTCCGACGACCCGCCGCCTGCACAACCACCACCACCACCATCACCATTCGCAACTAGCGTACGTAGCGTATGTAGGTACTCGTAATATGGTCACTTTCTTATAAATCAAAAACTACAGCTTTGCGTGCGGAGATGACTATGTGATACGACAGCTCTTCATAACTCAATCAAACAACAAGGTTAATATGTTCATTAACTGTTTTTGAAGTAGATTTTTCGAAGTGTTCCTTGTTATTGTCAAAGCTCGCTTGCTGTTTTTTTCTTAATACATTAGTAATAGTATACGGCTTTGTGTTTTTGTCTCTTCTCCTCCTACAAAACATTATATTATGTTATATTATATTATTATATCGTAGTTTTGGTTTTTAGGGCGGCAAATCTCTTATAACCATATACTTACAAGTTACCATATTCACGCAGCTTACTCTTCAAAGAACAGACTTTACCTTTTCTGACGTGAATACGTTTTTAAATTTGCTTCCATAGTGGGAAGTAGTTCGGTAAACGGATGATAATTACATCGGGGGATACAGTTTTATTGTTGCAGCTACATTACTATCATCTAATTCAAAATTTGATTACATTACTCGATAGCTAAAGGTTCGGAAATTCGTTATGTTGGTTAAAGCGACGCGGCCGTGTCTACGACATGGCCGCAACCCGATTTTTATATAATAAGTGTGACACACGAGCACACAATGCAATGGATAGTAAGTGGATGCTGTGAACGATAGACATCTACATCTATCCTCAATTGCAGCCTTTCAGTGCCAGTGCGCTGCCGCCAGGTTCACTGTAAGTTAATTTCTCACTTAAGTTTAATAGAAAAAGGCACAATATTATTTGTCTTGGAAACATACCAGTGAAAACATATAATTGGCTATCGTACATGTTTCATCGATTAAGCATCAAAATGCAGATGCGTTATTACCCCTGAGGACTAAGATGGAATGCGTCGTGACCAGTAAACAGTAAAGGGTCCTACACTCATCATTTCAAATACGGCAGCACTAAACTAATTTACGCTAGTATTCTGTGAGAGCTATGTCCTTCTCCGGTTAAGCCGACCCTTTCGTGTTACTACAATATTATAGACGTAACGAGGCTCTACCACGTAATAAAATATTTACATCCCAAAATTAAAGTAGTTGTGGACTAGGAAAACCATAACCGCGTAACCTTTTTCTCAAGTGATTGCACACGTAATACCGCATATCGGATAATTATACTGATATTACTCGTATTTGTGCATTTGATATCAAATGTCCACTGCTGAACATAAGCTTCCCCCACAGGTGGCCTAGTAGGGGGGATATTTGTCACAGATCACAGTACGCAGCTGTAACGGTGATGGTATGTCGCATGTGTTCATGCACTCACCATCAGCACTGGCGCGTCCGTGCGCGGACAGGTCCTCTTCTTTGGCACGCAGCCGCGGCGACTGGTGCGCGGCGTGAGCGTGCGTGTGCGCGTGCGTGTGCGCGTGCGCGTGTGCGTGTGCGTGAGCGTGCGCGTGCGGCGCCAGCGGCAAGTGCGCGTGCGGGGGCGACGCCGGCGACTGCGCGCCGGAGGACGCCGAGCCCGAACTGAGCGCCGCAGCGCCTGCGCCATACTCGCCGCCATTACCGCCTTGCACGTTCAGCTGAAACCGACTCACTGGTCAACCTCTTTTCCAGAACCTTTACCTGTCCAGTCCAAGGAATCACTGAACTATTTTTACATGGTACAATCACGCTGCAGCTATACAATCGACAGGCTCTCGCAGAATACCAGCATTAAATAGCAGCTCGATGCTGCTGTATCTTGTGCTGAATATAGAGAACACTATACTGGAAAATGCATTCCACCCCAGGGTACGTATCTGCATTTTTATTCTTAATTGTGCCTAAGTGTAGTTGAGTATGGGCCACAGTGTTCACTTACTGTGTGGTGGACTGTATGTTCGTTTGCACCCATATTCTACAAAAAAAGTACGTACAACCACCTTGCATACTTTAAAAGAAGAAGCTACAGATGCGTTTTCAGCACTAAGGAATCAGCTGCTTCACATACAATATATAATATTGCAGGGAAGGTCCATGACAGATTCCTTATTAGAAAACTGGCCGTACCAAACAATACATTTTATAAGTAATTGAAAGATAATAAGAGCTAACTATGGAAAATGTATAAAATGTACGCCAGCAAACTGGGTTCTATTCCAGGCACCATTGAAATTTTTAATCGCAATTTTAAGTGTTAATTTACCACGTCCTCGGCGGTGAAGGAAAACATCGAGCGGAAACCTGCATATTCAAGAAATAAGAAAAAAATATTTTTAAAGACATGTGAAGTTCGCTAACACGCATTGGGGCAGCACGTCGGACACTTTGTTGCCCTGTCAGAAATGAGGGAAGGCCTGTGCCCCATCAGTGGGACGTTTTGGGCCGTAACTTGTATGAAATGACAGTTATATCTCATGACTTTCGTGAGAAGGGGAACAAAATTGTTTCATATATACCAATACCAAGTACATAGTTAAAAAATTCAAGCCGGCAATAAGAAGCAAAGTTATGCCTGGGTCCGCAGGGGTGGTAATATATCTTTATTTTTATCTTATCTAAGTGTAGGTGTCTGTGGGCCACAGCTTGCACACACCTATAAGTGGACTGTGTTCCCCTTTGCCGCCCTAGCTTCTGGCTATGCCTAGAGTAGCAAGTGTGCAAACATTTTTATTATCATAAGGTAAGTAAGTCGTAACAAGCGATTATAAACTTAAACATCAAACCATGTCATACATGACTTGCAATAAATATTCCGTCTCTGACTTTGGCACACGTCCAGCAGAAGTCACTTCACAAAGTGAACAAAGTTAAGATCAGCGTGTTTTCGCAAGTTTATATAAATAATACAAAATTGCACTTGAGAAAATATGCTAGTCTTTATGTAATACTTTTTAATTTAGCCTAGGTACTAGTATTTTGCGTTAGTTTCAGTGCACGAATAGATTTTACGACACCTTATTGAAGCTGTTCTCATTTATTAACTTAGAAAACAGCCACGTTTTTCCAGTAAATTCATACCTAGTGCTTCTATCTTGTGGTTCGAGAATTCATGTGACAAGTAAAATATTTGACACGTGCAACTAAGTTCAAGGCACATTTTATATGAGATAATTTAGAACTGTGTGTGCGACAATTAAGCGTGTTTTTTTTTCTGGTTTAGCGTGTTGTGGTCAAACTTCGCTCAACTTTACGTGTAAGAAAACTATGACGTTTTTGAGCTTTATTAGGAGTCCTTTAAGGAAAAATAACGGGAAATTCCAGAGAAGTCCTGCAAGGTCAACCAATTTTTTAATTTGGATTTCTCAAAAATCTCCAAGTTTTTCTACTTTAAAAGGAAAGGAAAATTCTACTTTAAAAACTTGCCCTGTGGTCGAGTGGATACTAGTGGTGGATGACGAATTAGAAGCCATACTGGCTATACACCGTTCATAAATGATACAGTTCGTTATATGTGACAAAACGATATTGATTCATTTGCGCCAAATTAAAAAAAATTGCTCGGAAGGTTGGTACCGCATGGCAGCTTTGTTGAATCGTTATATATAGGATAAGATCATGAACCGAATTGCCTGGACAAGCATCATACATTTGTTGAAGCTGAACTCAGTCTCTCTCGCGGTCACCTGCGCAGGCAGGACAACAGTGCAAGTACGGGTGCACTCGCTATCCCGTCACTCTCGTAGCCCGGTGAGACGAGTATGCGATACGACACGACCGAAAAGAAATCAGGCGCAGAACCAACGGCTTTGACGGCACTATGCAATATGCTCACTCTGGATTCCTACTGAGAATTACTTTGTCAGGAAAACTCAAACACAGATCTTGACCCGACACAGTAATCAAAATCGGGGTCACATGATCAGTAATCACATTTTCAACCACTAGGCCGAGAAGGCAGTCAGTGGTAACAATAAGGTGTTAGGAGAATTTAAGCAACAGAAACTTAAAATATTAATACAGATAACGATATATATTAACTGCCGGCTTTATACTGTTTAAACCACTGGGGACAATTTACTTATGTTATTCTCAGAATGTTCTTGGGGCTGGCCCCTGGATCTGAGGATCGGCGTGAAATCGGCGCGTGTTACAAATGTTTTAGAACTTATAGTTTACGTTACAACTACAACATTACACTCTCCCATACTGACTTTCGATTTTCTCGGAGATAATGTATCAAAAAACATAATAGTAGTTCCAAAAATGTAAAGTAGCCACCGAGCGACCGTTACATCTGGCAAAAAAGACTGTCCATATAACTGAGGCGTACTCTAATTGACATCGTACAACAGTTTTACAAAGTGTAGGATAGGAAGACGATCATTTAAAAAAACGGCAAGATCGTCATCGCATATGGTAAGTCCAGGGGAGGTGGTCGTAAGGGAGAGATGGCCACTTAAAACATCATAGATGCATTTCCCAAAGTGCACTACTTTCTCGTTAGTACAATTCGTGCAGTGAGTGTTAACGACGTTTCGCTAGATCTCCGGCAATAAAAAAATGTAAGTAAAATTTTCCTATATTGATTTGTATGTAGCTTAAAGTTTTCCAAGGGTTTGCAATACAAAGTTTTGGTAATAAAGAATCATCCAAAATAAGTATTTTTTTAAGTTAAATGTTCAGCTTATGAATCAAACTTTAATATAACCAGCAAATAGCACGTGGAATGTTTTTATTTTTTTTACAAATAATGTGTGGCCGTATATCCCGGACGATTTGACCATACAAGGTCGGTATCAGATAACCATACAGAAGTAATGTGTAATATTAAAAGTTGTATTATGATAACATGCACTATTTTCTTAATTCATGGTTATTTATGCTAATTATGTTTTAGCAATAAATTATAGTATTTTATTTTAGATGCCAAACGAAAACTAAAGAAAATAATTTAAGGCAACCATGGATGCTGTTTGAAGATGAAATGACTATCTACATAGCTACTTTACCGAGTATAGAAATACGATACAAGTAAAATAATGTCAAAGACCATCACCTCTATTTAGCGAAGAAATTGAGAAGAAACTCGCTACTCGCGAACCACAATGGCATTTGGCGTCCCAATGTCATTGTTAGCCCGGCTACTTTTAGTTTTTGAATATTAATTTTTCGGTCCGATCTACGCGAAACGAGCTTACAGTATCTTGAGTCTTGCAGTGGTATGCTTGGGTTTGGGTTTAATTTTGTTAATTATAGGATCCCAGGCAGATGGCAGTACCCATCTATCTTCTCTATTGAAATTAGGATGTTTTTTTTTTAATTTTAATAGCCTCGCGTATCATCCTTGAGAGCAATCGGTGTTCTTTTGCGAGGATTTGTGGTTTATCAAATCTAATGTAATGGTGGACATGTTCGTAGACTGCAGACTTCCCGGAGCGTCGGTGCTTCACGTCAGCCATATGTTCCTTCACGCGGGTTTTTATAGATCTTTTTGTTTGACCTGTGTAAGAGAGGCCACATTCACAATCTAGCTTGCACACACCTGCATCTTGTAGAGAAATATTACATTTGATGGATGGTAAAAATTTACTAATCTTCTTCGGCGGCTTGTAGTATGTTTTAATGGAAGCAGGTTTATCATTTTTTGCTTTTCACTTTTTTCGGCGTTTAATTTTTTTGTTAAAAAGTTTTTATTTTATAACTTTTTGTGGCTATAATTTACTAATTACTACATGCTTAATTTTTGATTACTTTTAAAAAGCTACTTACCTTACTTTAGCTATAAACTGTTATAATATAATCCTACTTTAACTATTATTTGTTTAAAGCTGTAATCGACCTAGGAAAAAAATGTTTGCCAAAGGGCAGGCATATGTGGCACTGAGTAGAGTAAAAACACTTGAGGGTATTGCTTTATCTGATCAAGAGCCAAATGAGGTATTACACAAACCTCACGATGAACGAGCTTTATCAGAAATGCAGAGACTAAGAGGTCTACGAGTACACAAAAGAGGGTCTAAAGCTCATTCATCGTGAGGTTTTTTTGTAATGTAATGTAATTTTTATGTAATGTTATAATACACAACTCTGCATTAAAATCTGTGAGTAAACAATAAATCAACCCTATTTTCCCATCCTTAGGGTAACTTTTTCCAAATTTATATGGGACTAATTTCAAGGTATAACTATCCCATAAAAAAAGGATTATCAAAATCGGACTACTCTGTGATAAATCACCCTTACTTTCCCACCCTTAGCGTAAAAATTTTTGTCTAAATTTGTATGGGACCAATTTCGAGGTGATACCCTATCCAATATAAAATGAATTATCAAAATCTGACTACTCTGTAAAAACTTATGCGTAGTCATACATAAAAAATATAAGCGTCGACTTGAGTACCTCCTCCGTTTTTTCGTTGGTTGAAAATGATGATTATATCTCTTCAGAACGTGTTAGGTCAACATTTATTTATTTATTATACAATTAAACATCATTACAGTTATTAAACCAATGCGATGCTATAACTAACCTAAAAATAAGAAAACTACTGACTAACAAATAATGATATCTAGTATGAAATCTATCAAATTTATGGTAAAATAAAATACTAATTAAAAACATTACAATTTTCAACGCATTCGTATGCTGCAATTATGAATTTCGTCTCACTACATGCAAATATGTAAAAACTACTTGTCACATTTTTTTTAAATTAAAAATCCCAAGATTTCCACAGCATTACCTACCTACAAAATGGCTACAAATTATCGAACAAAATGGCACATATATATTATAAATAAATGTAATGAAAAAAATATTTAACCGGGGAGGCAAAAACCAAAAAAAAAAAAAAAAAAAAAAAAAGAAAAAAAAAAAAAAACTTTGCAAAAAAAGAACAGTTTTGAATTTGTATATAAAATACGAAGAAACTTTTCCCCGACCTTATACTCGTAGATTGCCGATTCACCAAATAGCAGGAAATAGACCATTATTACTAGGAAAATATTCATACTACAAGAGTCGTTTTCTTAGCCGACTATATTAACGAAATAGTGTCAGCGAGTGAAGCAGAGGCTCAGGGCAGCTGCTGTAGCAATACATCAAATGTAAGTGACGAAGACAAGTTCTTTTATTAACAAACAAGTTGAAAAAATGCGTCTGCATTTGATGACGAAAGACAAGACGTATAAAACAATTTCTAAAATATTTGGTATCTTGTAATGCTAGTGATTTAAAACTTAGAAAAGTTTTTAAAAACTGGCAAGACAGACGAGGTTATTTTGTCAGTGCCTTATTTTCTGTCAGTGACAGTGAGTTTAGAAGGCCCCGTTAAAAAACACGCCGCCTAATCGACACGTCTTCTCCGAAACTCATTTCAGATATTTACGAAATTTATATGGAACTATTACCAAATAAACCATCTCTCGAACAAAAAACTAATTTTGAAAATTCGTCTATATATGACGGAGTAATGTCTGAACATACATTAAAAAATATAAATATCCGAATAAAGAAGCGCCTCTTTTTTTG